CATACACGCACACACACACACACACACATTCCCTGCAGGTCCTGTACGTGCGCCCCGACGCTGTGTTTGATAAGTCAAAGCCCATCAGCGGCGGCCTGCCCCACTGCTTCCCCCAGTTCGGCCCCGGCCCCATTCAGCAGCACGGGTTCGCCCGCAACCTCGACTGGGAGGTGCGATGACACGCGATGGCGCAACTCACATGACTACACTACATCCTGCTGGGCTGTCTGTCTGCAGTGGCCCCGACTCTGCAGGAGCATCACGCGCCGTGCGCAGCGCCACGCCGCGGCCTGGCCTGCCTTGCGCCGCGCCTGCCTTCCTTGCGGCCTGACGCGCAACTGCGCGTACCCCACTGGCCCCTAAACGCCATCTGCCTGGCCTCGGCCACCAGCCCACCACCTGCCCAACCGGTCCTCGCGACCTGAAATGCTGTTGCCGGGGCACCCCCCTCCGCTGCCCCCCAACTGGATACAGTTGTGAAGCCACGCGCCCGCGCCCCACCTATCCTTGCAGGTCGGGTCCACCAGCGCGGACCTGCAGCCAGATGAGAGGGACCCCGAGGTGTGAACTCGGGCGGGAACTGTCGAGGCCCAAGGGCGATACGTTCTGCACCTTGTCTCTTGGCGCATGGCGACGGCCTGGCGGGAGTGTGCGCTTTCACTTTTGCCACGTCATCGTGGACCCGCGGGCTGGCGCGACTGCGGTCCGTTGGCTCTTGCGCCCCGCCTGCCGCGACTTCCGAGATTTACATCATCCATCAAACAATGGTGCGATGCCGCTCGCCGTGAACTTCACAGGTGGAGCTGGTTCTCACCGAGAACGACTACACCCTGAAGATGTGGCCCCACAAGTTCAAGGCGGTGCGCATGCAACCCAACACGCTGCTCGGGGGCGACTGCGTGCGCCACGCTGCGCCGCGCCGCGCCTCAAGGGACCCAAGGCAGCCGCTGCCCCCCTTGGCCCGCAGCCAGTGGGGCCAGGGGTGCCGAGGCCTGCCTTGGACGCCCAGCCATGCCCCACCATGTCTAGCCCCTCTGCGCCTGCCTACCGCACGTGGTCCCCGCTGCCACAAACACTGCGTTGCTTGACCCCCCTATACACACACACAGACCCGAACGCACGCGCACTTGCTCGCGCGCGTGCACACACTCACACACACACACACACTCACACACACACAGTGTCATGTACACATGCGCGCACATGCACGCACACACGCGCGCGCACCACCCACCCACCCCCACACACACACACAACACACACCACTGGTAAACTAATTTCACCCTCTGCAACCGGCCGCCCCACCCCACCTGCCAGGTGTACACCGTGACGCTGCACGGCGAGCAGCTGCGCACCGACTTCCGGGTCATCAACACTGGCGACGCGCCCTTCACCTTCACCGCCGCCCTGCACTCCTACTTCGAGGTCCTGGGGGTCACCAAGGCCAAGGTAGGGCGAGAACTGATCTGATCTGGTGTAATCTGGTGTGATCTGAAGTGACATCATGTGGCTGAAAGTTGCTGCACCCCGCCCTCAGCCAATATCTTGGTCTACTCCTGGGCTGTACCAGTTGGGGGAAGCACCCATGCAATACACCCAAAAAAGGGTCACGTCTGATGCCAGGGTCGGACTTTGTCACTGCCTCGTGATCGTCTGCCCGCGCCAACCTGTGTCGCCTGCGCTCGGTTTTGTGCGTTCAAGGTTTCGGGCCTCAAGGGGCTGACGTACCTCGACAAGTCCAAGGACCCCAAGAACCCCGAGAGCAAGACGTGAGCCGCGCGGGGGAGGCAGGGGGGGCCTGTCGTCTGCAGCGCCCCCCGCTCGATCTGGCCATGATTGCACTGCACCCCGCCTGGCCTGCTGCAGCGGCCGACTGCAGCTGGGCGTCCTTGCCGCCCGCACTGGTTCGCAGCTCGCTATTGCAACCACAGTGTCAACACGTACCTCCACGCGTCCTTTTGACGTGTATTCACTCACATACTACTCACAGACGTTTGCATGCGAGCACACACACATACACATCGATTCGTTTCCCCACGCGCTCTCATCCCAGTGAGGAGCGTGACGCCGTGACCTTTGGTGAGGGCCTGGTGGACTCTGTGTACCTCAACGCCCCGGAGCACGTGGAGCTGGACGTGGGCACGGGTGGGTGGGGTCAGGGGTGAGGGTGGTGCACGTGTGTGCGTGTGTGTGTGTGCGTGCGTGTGTGAGTGTGTGTCTTTCGCGTGAGTGCATGTCTTTGTATGTTTGAGCATTGTGTGCATGGGGTTGAGTCTTGAGAGTAGTCAAGGTCTGGTATGTGTATGTGTGTGTGTGTGTGTGTGTACGTGTGTGCAAGTGTATGGGAGTCTGTTTGTGTCACAAATGCATGTGTGTCTGTACGCATGCGCGTGTTTTTGTACGTCCACACCTGCGCAGGTGACACGTGTCATTCGTCTGCATGCACCTGTGGCGAACGCTCCGCCTTCCCACCCGACCCAACCTGGCACCCCTGCCTGTCTTCCCCCCCTCCCCCTGTCAACCAACCCAGGTGCGGCCATCGCCATCGACGCGACCGGCTGGCAGGACGTGGTGGTCTGGAACCCCCACCTTACCATGAAGGTGGGGGAAACGAACACACATGCACTAAGGCACATAGGATAGAACAGGACAGGATGGGGTGGGATAGGATTGGATACATTTGTTGAATGTACCTGAGGTCGCCCGCTTCTGCGGCCATCCAGGCGCATGGGACTAGGCATGCTTTAGCAATGCAGCATACGCCGTTTGCCAATCGTGAGCCCCGCCAGTCCGGTCTTCGGCGGTCCCCAATCGTCAAGCTGGGCCGGTCGGCTGCGCATGCCTCGGGACTGATCGCGCCCCCATGCTTGCACCAACCTCCGACGGCCTCTTCAGCTGCAGACTTGCGCCCTGCATGCCACCGATCGCAACCCAGGCCACCCTCTGCTCCCATCGACCAAGCGATCCTCACTCTGTGACACCACACCCCCGCATCCGCGCGGCCCCCTCCCCAGGAGTGCTACGAGAGCTTTGTGTGCGTCGAGAACGCAAAGACCGGCGAGGCCGTCACCGTCGCGCCCGGCGACAGCTGGCGCGCCACCACCAACTTCCAGGTGGTGGATCTCTGAGCCTGCGTCCCTGCAAATTTGTTCGACATGAGATCTCGGATTGGACCTTTGCCGGGGTGAAGCTGGAAGGATTTTCAGGCCGCCCTTGTGCCTCAGCCATGCTCGGTGGTGGAAACGACTGAAGGGCTCGGAGTCAAAAGCAGGCTGAGGTTTTTCTCACTACCCCAGTAGTTGGTTTATTCAACCCAATATGAGTAACAACGCAAGAGCTTGAGGGTTTCATGGAACAAGCCAGTAGTTCAAACAGGCTGCACTCGAGCGGCCGGGATGCGCCAATCAACTTGCAGCTGGCCCTTTGTCTGCTGTCAGGCTATCAGCGCCCCGCAAACGCCAATATCACTGGTATCCAAATGGCCACCTACCACCAAACGACCAGGTCAAAATATGTGCATCATGCACATGCATGTATGCCAGCGCACGCTCATGGCGCGGGGTCGACGTCGGGGGTGCGTGTGCACGCAGTCGCGATTGTTGGACCAGCACGTTCCACAAGAAGCTGCACGGGTATAGAACCAAAGAGAAGTATGACGCGGTCTCCCTGCTGCAGGCACTGGACACGGTGTGAAGCTTCCCGTTCATGTGCCGGTGTGCAATCATCTGCTGTGACAGCCTTTTGAGCAACAAGCGTACACCACGCACACTAGAGTTGGCGACGGCTACTATCTTCCTGTCTAGACGATTACTTTACACCACATCCGGGTGACGCGCGCACCTGTTGACTGAGCCGCGCGCTTTAAGGCGATCCAACCAGCATCCAGCTACAAGTGAAAGGATACAGGACCCATACGAGCAGCCCGGGCCATGGCGGGTTCCGCAGGCGGCGCCGGCGCCGCGTTTGAGAAGGTGGTCACCGTCGTGGTGCTGGCGCCGTTCGTGATTGGCGCTCTGGTGGTGCTGCTGGCCATCTGGGCGGTGGCGACGCTCACAGGCATAGGGCCGCTCGCGCACTACCTCTGCTCGCGCGCGGACGAACGGCTGCTGCGGTCAACTCTCGAGCCAGCGCCTGGCGCGCAAGTGCGCCTCGTCCCGATCGCGGGCCGACGCCACCGCCTCGCCGTCCGCTGGACACCCGGGGACGGGTCCCGGCTGTACCCAGTGCGTAGGACGTGTGGTGCTTCGGACAGGCCTCCGCGCTCCTTGTGCAAACTGGCAGCCGCTGTACAAGCCTGCATGGGGTCAGGAGCAGCGATGCATGCATACATCCAGACACATGCGCATGTGCACACACATGCCGTATGTACATGCAGCCGCTTTGATTGCGCCCCGAGCAGAGGCACAAAACCATCCAATGTCCCTTACACAAGTCTAGCCCCCCTCCACCTCCTCTTTTCACTCAAAACCTGCAGGTTTGCATCCCCAACGGCCTTGGAGCCACACTCATCAGTATCTCAAAGCTCCACGAGCGCCTGGCGGCGCTGGGCTTCTCAGTGCTGTCCTACGACCGCGCCGGCGTCGGCCTGAGCGACGCCCGCGACCCGCCGCCGGGCGCAGCAAGGACGCACGCCGGCACGGACGAGGTGGTGGCTGAGATGAAGCAGGTGGGGTGCGGCGTGTGCCTGCTCCCACGTGTGCAGCGGCCTCCGCATGCGCACTTTTGCCTGCCGCATGCTGCCAAAGAGCTGCACAGCCTTCTAAGGGAACTCATTCTGTCACCACACTCACACCCAGCAAACCCAAGCCTGCTGAAACCTGCCCGCATGCACTGCGTACCTAACACCCCCAGCTGATGGACGCCGTCGCCCCTGGGGCGCGCTGGCTGCTGGTCGGCCCCTCCATGGGCAGCATCGTGGCGCAGTGCTACGTCGCCGCGCACCCATCGGACGTCGCCGGCGTCTTCAACGTTGATGGTGGGGCCAGGGACTGTCCGCGCCTCGCAGAGCCAGGGGCGGCATCGGCAGTGGTTGGAGGGGTGCCCGGCGAGCCCCGCAGCCCGGCTCAGCGCCACGCATGGTGGGCCCATGCACGCCAGGGGGGTGCATGCTGCGCCCGCACTTTGCAGCGGGCTGGCCGCCCCAACATCACACGGCAGGCAGCGACCATCGCCACTGCCTGCAACGGCAAACCTGCCTCCACCAGTCGTGTCAATTCCACGCTTGTTCGCCGAAGCAATCCGACACACATTGTTGCCTCCGCAACCACGCGTGCAATTGCAGGCTTCCCATTCCCCTTCGCCGCCAAGCGGCGCCGCTTCGAGCTCGCAGCCCACGTCTACACCGCTACGTCCGCGCTCACGCGCACTGGCTTCCTGCGGCCCCTGTTGCTGGCCGGCGCATCGCAGCTGGCTTCCATAGGCAGCGCCGCGTTTTCCCCGACGGTCGTGCGCGCACAGATGAACGAGGCCAAGTTCTATTCCAGCCTGGCGGGGGAGATGCTGACGATGATGGACTGTGCGGACTGCGCGCGTGCCGCCTGGGGCCCGGCGTTCGACCTGGCGGCCGCGCCGCCGCAGCTGATCGATGTGCTGGTCAACGCGCAGCCGGCCGCATGCGGCGACGCGCCCGCGCCCGCGGCCGACGACAGCGGGGCGGCAGGCTGGCGGGAGCTGCCGCGGTCGGCAGCGGAGCGGGGCGGCGCGGGCGGGGCGTGGACGCCCGAGGCGGAGGCGCGCGCGGCGGCGATCGAGCCGATGCTCGCGGCTGCCAAGGCCGCCGGCGGCGCGGG